TTTAATCCTCGATCAACAAGACGAACCCCTCATCTTGGGCTAGTCGAGATTCGAGAAGATTCCATCTATCCTAGAAAAGATGTCTACATTGTGGCTCAACAGGCCGTGCAGGTGTATTATACTCGATACGCCAACCAAGACAAAGAGGATCTTAAGGGTTGGGCTATTGTGCACCAGGTATCTCCACACGGTAAACTACCTGCCCCAAACGATGATGATTACAACTTCAATGTAAACACGTATGATGGACAGTTCTATCAAGAAGATGGGCTACCAGGCACGTTTGAGATAGTCTTACCCGAAGCAATCGAAATGGAAGTAGACAACGAAATGGTTGATGGCGAGGTCGATGGAGATGTGGTGGTAAGTGCCAAGGACATAGCAATGCTTGAGCGATTACTTCTAGGCAATGACTACGATGACAACATAGAACCTTCGGATAGTGTTGCCCATTTGGACAATTTTGATAGTGATGATGAGACCTATGATCCCAATCATAAAGATTATTCCTAATACATGTAATACTATATTTTTTTTAATTTGTGTTTTGTTTATATATTTTGAATCTATTTCTAATATATGTACTAATTAGTCTTGTTCATTCTTTGTGATTGTAGGTGATTGAACAAAGATGGCGAGCAGACGTCCACGCCGTGACACGCCCTCGGTTTATGGGAGAGACCGCCCTCTCCTTCGAGGTGTGGGGTCGTCGTCCGGGGCAGCGTCTGTAGGAGGTGACGAGAGGAGGACCAGGGGCAGTGGTCTCCTCCCTCACCACGTGACGAGGTGCTGAAGGAGGAGCATGTGACGGCCACAGCCACATCCTCGTCGGAGGACGAGAGGGGTCAGCAGATGGGCGAGGGAGGCGAGGCGCTCGAGGGCGAGGGAGGCGAGGTGCTCGAGGGTGAGGGAGGCGAGGGGCTCGAGGGCGACAGAGGGGTATTGCTACCCGGACTCCCTACGAGCGAGGTCCCACGAGCCTCCCTCCGGTTCCACTTCCTCACAACCGCCCAGTGATTCAGCCTATGGCAAAGAGGTAAGTAACTATACATGTTATCACAACTACTTCATAAGATATTTTGGAAATTATAAGAGAAACTGATAAATTTTCTTAATCACTTGTGTAGGGCCTGGTTGGTTTTGTCAGGTACTCCGACACGCACCCCCACGAGTATCTTTGGTGTTTTGTGCAGGAAATGGTACCCCGGCATTGTGCAACTGTCCGAAGAGCTGGTGGTGCGGGAGCCGGCCTCCAACTGGGACAGGTACGCGCTGGTCACGGATGACACTTACTGCAACAAGCAGGAGCGGGTATTGGTGGAGTTTTGGGTAAGTTTCTCTCGCACAACATTGCTTAATATATCTCATTCATTGGTTAAATATTTTATTGAAATAATGAATGGATACATCGGTTTTGTATGCAGAAAATTTTCAAGGCCGAAGAAGGACTTGAGGCCCAGGCGGATTGGGTGGCTGCCGCAGCTTGTAGGAAGTACGTCACCGAGATGCACCACCATGGGCGCATCTAAGCCCACATAGACTACTACAGGTCGGTACTTAAGCAGTCCCTCCCCAAGCCTCAAGCAAGACTGATTACGCTGACCCGGGACCAGTACCTTGAGGTAGGCGAATAACATTCATAATGATTCGTTTTGATATTAAGTAGGTTCAATTTCATCTTCTTATATGTCAAATACTCGATGACTTGTAGGTGATTCTTTGGTGGTGCCGATCGTATCCCGAGTGCTGTGTCATGATCGTGGACAAGTGGTTATCACAGGACTTTGTTGGCACGCACAAGAGGCTGCGGGAACAACGTCTGATGAGGCAAGATCCAACTCACCATCAAGGCAGCCGCAGCCTCCCCGGATACAAACAAGCATACGTAAATGATTTCTTTCATTTATTTTGATGCTCAATTCTGCTTGATTTCTCACCATCTTCCCGTCTTTCTCGCAGGAGGCTGCACACCCGAGCGAGGAGGTCTCGGAGTTCTCTGCGTGGGCTATGTCCCATATGGGCAGGGCGTCGTCCTCTGTCTCCTTCGATCCGGCTGCCCCGCCCCAGGTGTACTCCGACCCGAACGTATACACTAAAGTCCAAGAGTACACGTCCTCGGTAAGGGAGATCTATAGGGAAGATTACAATGTGCGCACTGAGCCCATTGATGCAGAGACGATCATGAGGCTTGGAGGAGGCAAGAAGCACGGGCGGCTGTGGATTGCAGACGGCGCTATCGACTCCACCACTGTTCCCTCCCTTGACGCTATCCGAGCACGGAGCACGAGCTCCAGCCAGCCCATACACTCACGGCCTTCTCCAGCACTGCAGCAGGTCCAGGCACTCCAGGTAATTTCTATTTTACTCGTCGTACGTTGATATTTATACACCTAAATTAGATTTGCATTACTGATACATTAGAGTGAAATATTGCAGGCTGAGCTGCAAGAAACAAAAAGGCAAAGTCAAGAGCAGAACGTGGAACTAACCGCACAGCTGCAGGCCCAGCAGGTCGCGTTCGAGGCCGCGCAGAAGCAGATGACGGAGATGATGGTGATCATGCAAAGTCTTGGGCAAGCATCAGGTGTACCTGTGCAGTTTTCAGCTCCTCCATCTCCTACTCCTACAGCTACTCCTATAAGTATGAAAGTTCACTTTTGGCTTGTGCTTTGCATGTATGTCGGCCTTCGTGCCGTTGTGGATGTCGGCGTTCGTGCCGTTGTGGATGTCGACGTTCGTGCCGTTGTTTCTTACAGGTTTTGGAAACCTCCCCGTGCAGGGGAGGTGCTGCCAAAATTTTCAATTGAGTCTAATCTTTTTTATTCCTAGATTACTAGATGTAGTCTCTAAGTTCCAAAACTGTTTTCCTGGATTACTCACACATGCAATCTCTGCTCTTTTATACAGTCTCCGTCCGCGGGTTCCAATCAATTTGGTAGTGCGTCACCGGGTGATCCCGCCTTTCCTTCACCACCGTCTCATAAGCTACCTTGATGAAGACCAGTGCTAGGTGCTGTGGTTGGACTTTGGCCCCGTTCGCTTGTCTTAAAAAATAGCTTGTTCGACTTCTTTTTTCAGCCGGAACAGTGTTTTTCTCTCACAACAATTTAGTCGAAGCAGTGTTTTTCAGTCAGTTTCAGCCAAGTTTCAGACCAGCGAACGCATCCTTTATTGTAATATTTGTGGTTTATGGTTCTGACTTGTGCTTGGATTTTATGAACTTATCGTAATAAACATGTGAATGATGATGAACATGTGACTTGTCGCTGTAATATATTGTGATTTGTAGTTCACAATTATGGTTGTGATATATTGTGAGAAAATAGGTTCTGTATGATATATATATATATATATATATATATATGAAATGCTTGTGTCGATGGAATGCAAAAAACAAAAAAAATTAAATTTCTGCCTCTTTGCCGAGGGCAATGACCAAGGCCCTCGGCAAAGAAGAGCCCTTTGCCGAGGGCCGTCCTATTGCCCTCGGCAAAGATTTTTTTAAAAAAAATAAAATTTCTGCAACATTTCTTTGCCGATGGCCATGGTTAGAGGCCCTCGGCAAAGACTTTTTTTTTAAAAAAAATAAAATTTCTTTGCCGAGGGCCTACGTGGAAGCCCTCGGCAAAGATTTTTCAAAAAAAAAGAATAATTCTTTGCCGAGGGTCGTCCCATTGCCCTCGGCAAAGATTTTTTTGGAAAAATTCTGCACATTTCCTTGCCGAGGGCCATGGTTGGAGGCCCTCGGCAAAGATTTTTTTTTAAAAAAAATGAATAATTTTTTTCCGAGGCCCTCGGAGATGGCCTCGGCAAAGACTCCGTCCCAGCGCCGGCTACCGTGGGGATTTGCGGCCGCTTTTTGCCGAGTGTCGCCCAACCCTCGGCTAAGAAAGGCTTTGTCGAGTGTTCGATAAAGGGCCATCGGCAAAGACCCTCTTCGCCGACTCAAAATTCCTCGAGAGCTCTTTGTCGAGGGCGTCCTCTCTGCAAAGCCTTTGCCGAGGGTTAATGGATCTTTGCCGAGGGCCTCAGGCCCTCGGCAAAGAGGCCGTCTCCAACAGTGATTGTTTTAGATGTCTGATAGACCAACTCCAAATGAATGCAGATCCGAGGGATCAACATGAACAGTCAAAGATATTAGGTATGGAAGATGAGGTATCCTCCCACTAATTATGTCAACGGCCCGATCCCCTTCCTAATAAAAAAATAAAAAGAAAAGAAAATGCAAGTAAATTATAAGCATCCCAAAGACATAGCTGGTATTTCTTTTAATAACCAAACAAGTAAAAAGAAGTCAATGCGAAACACAGGCTAGTACAGCACACTACGATATTCCCTTTTTGGTCGTTCGATTTTTTGGAAAGAAAAAAATAAATCCCTTTCATCGGACATGATTCACGTATGAATGTTTCATTTAATAATTCTAATGATTTGTGGCAAATGACACATGTATAATAAATTATAATATGAATGGACGAATACATAAAAATATAATATAGCCGTTTTTTATGCTACACAATCAGTTTTGACTAATATGAACCATCCGTAGTGAGCGTAATATGCACATAAAGAGTATATATATATATATGTGTGTGTCAGGGATATGTGTAGGATGGATTGCCATGTGGGGCCGGACTATCAGACAGAAGCAAAGACAAGGCCAAGCCAGTACAAAGGGCCAGGATGGCAAGAGGAAGGGCATCGAAGAATTATTCAGAAGACTTCCATCTCATTCTACCTTCTACTGTTATTCTTTCTTTCGAAGCCTCTCACTCTTGTATCTAGATTTCCTGCTTCCAGTACCTTCTAGAACCTTCTAGGATCTTCCTCCTAGCATCGATTCCCCTGCTTGCTACCTTCTCCCAGATTCTATCTCATATTGTATGGGATCATAGTACATGTGCTTATTGTGATTGTGTTGGATCGATATGTGTTCTATCATCTAGAGTGGGTGCTGCTAACAATTGGCATCAGAGACAGTCGATTCTCGGTCTAGCACCATGAATCCCCTACCGAGATCTCCCTTCTATCCGGTTCCTCCTCGACGAGATCCACAGGAGGTTCGACGAGTCCGATGCTCGCTTCGACCGGCTCTTCGCCAGGCTGCAGCAGCCCGCACGCGGACGCGCTCCTCCTCCTGCAACGACGACTCGGGCGCCGTCCCCGTCGATGCGTTCGTCACCTCCACCGAACCCGACGCGCCGCTCAGCACTGACCAGAAGCTCGTCCGGTACGGCCCCGTCAACACCCCCGCCTCCGAGTCGCTCCGCCCCGCGTCCGAGAAGGGCTTCTCCATCGCGCTCGACGACGCTCCGCCGATGAGGGAGCCGCGGGATGCCGTCGAGGAGCTCCGCATCGGCGCCCTCAAGCTGAGCGACGTCCTGGAGGAGCGAGTCTGCGAGCTGGCTTCCTCCGACACGACCGCGCCTCCACCGCCGACGGCGCAGAACTCAGTGCCCGCTCCGCCCTCCGACCTTCTGGACGGCGTCGACGTTGGAGCGTCCGCGTGCACCATCCCCGACGCTGCTAGCGTCGCCGACATCTCCCTCGAGCTCGCGTCCGACGCCGAGGTGGTCCCGGACAACTGGGGAGGGCTGTTCGAGCAGCCTGCCCACGACCCGGAGGAGCGCGACCTCGACCTCTCCGCCATCGATGTCTTCGGCTCCGCCCAGATCCGTAACGAGCACGGCCTCACCTCCACCGTCCCCGTCGCGCTACTCGACATCGTCCACGAGCCCGCTCCAATGCTCGACGCCGCGGAGAGTCCTCACCGCCTAGCCGCCGCGCTCGACGACATCGTCGACCTCGACCGCCTCAGCCTCCTTCCAGATGTGCTCCTCCGCGACATCGTCTCTCGCCTCCCCATCAAGGATGCCGCGCGCACGGCGGTGCTTTCCCGCCGCTGGAGGCCTCTCTGCGCCTCCCCATCCGTGTCGCTGGTGCAGATGGAGGCGCAGCCCTTCTTCCTCGTCGCATGCACCAAGCAGGAGCGGCGCCCCATCATCCGCGCCGAGGGGATGGGTGCCAGCGGCCGCGTCTTCGTCGGCGTGAACATACAGCGGCTCCACGATGACCCCGGCCTTCTCCACTGCGTCTGCCTCGGCCCCGTCATGTGTGTGCTCCGTGCCACCCCACTCGGTGGCTACGATGGCTCCCTCGACGACGACCCGGAGTCCGGCGTCACCCACTTCGACGCGCCGCTCGACCGAGCCGTCGGTCGTGATGGCCAGGCACCCCCTGTGGCTGCCACGCTCCGCCCCGATGCTGTGGGGGCTGCATGTGGTGGGCTGCTGGCTTGGGTGATGGCTGCGAGGTCAGCGCAGGCCACATGTTCGACGATTTGCCCGGCCGGCGACAGCAGCTTCACCGACGTCCCCATCGGCGCGCTCTGGGAGGAGGAGATGCTCCGCTGGAGCATGACCGGCGGCCTCGGCGACGTCCTCGGCGGCCTCCCGCCAGCCATGGCCGCGAAAGGGTCCCACAGGATGACACGTTGCTGAAGCTACTCAAACGTCATCAACGACATCTACACTTCCAGGTGCCTCAACCCTAAGCCCTGCCATGTTGAGTTCGATATCTCTAGAGCATGCTAGCTCGGGTGCACGCCAGGTGTTCGAGGAATTGTCACTGCATGCAGACATCTTCTGCAACATCTGCATTGGCTTCGAGCTGCCGAGTCGTATATCACTGGGAGTCAATCAACACCAACCATGCCCACCAACACATGTGCAAGTTGAGTTTGGGTGTGGTAGTGTTGATGTACGTCCACTTCCCTGGCCATCTTTCACCTTGGGCAACTGTTGTTCCATGAGTCAGGCTGTTTGTTGGAAACCACCATGGCCTCTTCCATCTCGACAAGGCGTCCGTATTGGAATGGGAGCAATGCTTTGTCTCTTCCCAGTAGTGGCTTGGCTTCCTCATTGGTTGTGTTTTCATTTTCTCTAGAAGCCACCATGGCAGCTACCTGCATTAGTGATCCCAACATATTCTGTACAACTGAAGCGTGGTGGGCTCATACACTTTGATTCTCACTCTCTATTTCATGTGTTTGGCATCAGTTGTTGGGGACTACTTGCAGAGATGAGACCTATCAGCTCTATGGTGCTCCTTCTGTCAATCTTCGGACATTCAGCAAACATGCTGGTTTTGGATGGCCCTGTTACTTTGGTTGGCATATTAGGTTGGTGCAGGTTCCCTAGATGTTTCCTACTGTTGAGCTCTATTTGGCCAGTTAAAAAGGAGCGCCAATTGCTCGGTTCGGGTTTGGTTCTGAATCTGGTGGGGTACAGTAACATGCATATGCTTACTTTCGAGCTTCGTTCTATACCCATGCAACTAATCAAGTATGCTTCTGTACACTTTCTTCCTTCTGCTCCTAATTCCATATTGGTAAGTCTGAAGTGTGGTAATCATCTCAAGCTCGAAGTATCGGTTCCAGTGTACAAATTCAATAGCAACATTATGTTATTGCATCAGTTCACCACAACTGTACAAGCACCACCAATTGGCGCCATGTGGCTGCTACTTGCAATTAATTCTCTTGCTCATGAGGAGTTTCAGTTCGGTTTTGAGATAGAAAAGATGATGAGAACTACTGTTATGGTGTTACTGCACATTTTCACTATGGAGGCATCGGGTAACCACTTGATTAGTTTCCCAGAGATTCTGAATTGGGCTTGGGAACGCTGGATCTCCATTTTCCTTGCTCAAGTTGACTTGTTCAGATTAGTGCCATGGGATCCTGGTGGTTTGCAGCTCTTGCTATCAGTGAGTATGGCTGGCTGTGCACTGATTCAACAGCGAGTACAGCGGAAGTGTGGTGGCAATTGTCGGTGTTTCTTGCTTGAAGTGACCGGACAGAACTTTCCAGTTGCAACACCATGTATCAAGTGCAAGGTCTTCTGCAGGGAATTTATATTGCTTGATATGGGCTTCTTGACTACCAACAAGGAAGTGCAGTGCAATGTTGATTGCTTCAGCTCGACATATTCAGAAGAAGAGTTTCTGCAGTTTCCTTGGGATCCCGGTGGTTCCGAACTTCTCCATCGGCTTGGGGGTGTTTCGAATTTTAAGAAGGGGGAATGTCAGGGATATGTGTAGGATGGACTGCCATGTGGGGCCGGACTGTCAGACAGAAGCAAAGGCAAGGCCAAGCCAGTACAAAGGGCCAGGATGGCAAGAGGAAGGGCATCGAAGAATTATTCAGAAGACTTCCATCTCATTCTACCTTCTACTGTTCTTCTTCCTTTCGAAGCCTCTCACTCTTGTATCTAGATTCCCTGCTTCCAGTACCTTCTAGAACCTTCTAGGATCTTCCTCCTAGCATCGATTCCCCTGCTTGCTACCTTCTCCCAGATTCTATCTCATATTGTATGGGATCATAGTACATGTGCTTATTGTGATTGTGTTGGATCGATCTGTGTTCTATCATCCAGAGTGTGTGCTGCTAACAGTGTGTGTGTGTGTGTTTCAAAGGATAGACCGATGGAGACATGACATCTATTATCACTGGCTGTATAGAAAGCATATAGACAAATAATTGGTTTAAACAACCGTAATCCTCAAATTTGCCGAGTTTTTTATATTTATCGAGTGTATTCCCTCGGACACTCGGCGAATAAGTGATTTGCCGAGTGCTGCGCTAAAAACACTCGGCAAAACAGGGGGTTTGCCTGAGTGTAAAAAAAAACACTCGGCAAAGAGCGGGTTTGCCAAGTGTCCAAAAAAAACACTCGGCAAATAAATAAAATCTTTTTTTCTAAAAAAGAAGGAGAAGAAAAAAATAAAAATAAAACATTTGCCGAGTGCTAGATCTACAACACTCGGCAAAAAAAAATTCCTGAAAATAAAAGCCACCTTTGCCAGCACACCGCCCCCCTCACCTCAGACGCTTGCCGCCTCCTCCCTCCCTCCCAGCTCCCTCCTCCTCCTCCTCCTCCGCGCCTCCCTCCTCCTCTCTCTCCCCAAGGCCTCCCTCCTCCCGGATCCGGGCTGGCCCCGCCTCCTCCCTCTCCCCTGACCCTCCTCCTCCCGGATCCGTGGCCCGCCCCCCCTCCTCCTCTCCGCGCGACCCCGGCCCGGCCCTCCTCCCTCTCCTCCCCTCCTCCTCCTCTGGATCCGCCCCCCCCTCCTCCTCCCCTCTCCCGGCCCCTCTCCGGCCCCCTCCTCCCCCTCTCCCGGATCAAGGCCCCTCCTCTCCGCCTCTCCCGGATCCGCGCGCCCCTCCTCCCCCTCCGGCGTGGCCCCGCCCTCCCTCCTCCAGATCCGCGGCGACAGGCGTGGGCTGCTTCAGGGCGGGCTGGGCGTGGTGGCGTGGCGTGGTGGGCCCTCCTTCTTCCCAAGGCGTGGTGGGCGGCGTGGATGGTGGTGGTGCGGCGTGGTGGGGCCTCCTTCTTCCCGGCGTGGTGGCGGCGGCGTGGATGGCTTGGCATGGTGGCTTTGGTGGTGTGGGCGTGGTGTCGGCGTGTCTTTTTATTTTTTTTTGAAAAAAAAAAAAGTTTGTCGAGTGTTTTTTGGGCACTCGGCAACGTCTTTGCCGAGTGCCCGACAAAAAACACTCAGCAAACTAGCGTTTGCCGAGTGTAACACTTGGCAAAACCTTTGCCGAGTGTTTTTTGGGCTTCGCCGAGTGCCCCCGGCACTCGGCAAAACCTCCCGTATCCGGTTGTCGACAGTATAGAGAATGCCAAAAAAATAGTTCAACTAGAAACAATGCAAAACCATGGTTTCATTTGTTATTTCTTGTTTAACTTTTTTTCATAAAACCAGTCTAATTTGCTTTTGAAATTTTGTTACTGCAAGCTCATTTTTAAAAGAAAAAGAAAACATGAAACTTCAAGTTTGGTTTTCAAGGAGTAGTTGAAACTTGTGTAAGGTGTGGTACTTTGGATGCATACCGTTGCTACTTTCAGAGAAACCTCAAGGCATGTGAGGGACGTACAACACCGGAGAAGGTAAATGCTGCTGTTGTTGATGTCGTCATCTTCATCTTCTTCTCCATGCGAGTCCAACCCAACCTTGAGACTCCTCACGCATGGCAATTCACCGTCAACGTCGATAGTTGATGAGGCGAGAAGGCGAGCTCCTCCAGTCTAGGGGCGGAGATCCCAAGTGTCCTGAGGTAGTCGTAGTCATAGTCCTCTATATCGAGAATCCGGAGGCTAGGAGTTTTCAATTTCAGAGTCGCAGGGCCTACATTTGGCATGCTTGACATTGACAGCTCCAAGAGTGCCCTAGCCTCGATAAGTAGCTCATTCAGTTCAGGGAGGCTAAGCTCCCTAAGCTGTAGCTTCTGCAGTGACGGACAGCATGCCGATGACAGGAGGCGGGCAAGGAGGTGGCCACTGCCAGCAACGAGCTCAATGTCTTCAAGTGAGAGATCCACGAGCGAGGTGAACACTGCAGTGGCGGGGAGCTGGAGCCTTACACCTTGCTGTTCCCAATGCATGGTCTCCAGCTTTGCTGAACTAGGAAGATTGATGAGATCCATCATGGTTGCTCGTGCCACTCCCAGATGTTGCATCTGGTCTCAGGGCAGTACCGTTTCCATATAGGAAACAACTGGAGTTTAAGGGCCAAAGATTTCGCTATTTTTGTATCGCGTACCAAATCCACTCTTGCGCGGCGTCGGTGGACCGTAGCACCAGCGGTTTAATTAGTTGCCTGATCGTCGGCAGGAGACATGATGGCGAACGAGATCGCCAGGTGCTCAGCTCGAGGGCGGCATCCGTCTTGGCGCGCTGGGCGAGGGCGTTGTGGACGAAGTCGAGGAACCGCCTGCTGGAGTCGAAGGTGAGGGAGTTGACGCACGTCCATGTGTCCGCCGCCGGCGCCAGATGCGATCGGATTGATGCGCACGGCCTATGTATGGTATGCTTCCGGAAACAAGAGACTCGTGAGACGTCACGTGGCAACCAAATTGGATCGAGTGTCCGTTTCCCGTACGTGCACAGGACGACGCTGGGCCTGGTGACTGGTGAAACAAGCTGAAGCCAGGCCACAGCCCGGTCCAATAAGCTGCCACCGGTTGTCTGAGTCGGGCCTCGTAATTGGCTACCAACCAGCCCAACACGTCCAGAGCCCGTAACTGAGCCCGCCCCATGCCTCCCGAATCTCTCCAGGCCACACCGGCCGGCCACGCCTTCCATGCATCTTGATGGCCGTGCTGCGGCGCCGCTGACCGCCGGCCGATCGTCAGTTGGCTGAGCAAGCGGCACAGGCTCCTGCAGTGCATCTCGCCGGCCGGTCTTGCATTCTGGCGGCGGCGGCGGCGATACGCACCACCTAGGTCTATCAACGGAGAACCGGAGGCTGTCAAGGACAGGGCGCCCTCAGGCTGCCGAGCATTGCAAAGCACATGGGTCAGTGACTCAGTTCATCACTGTAGCCTGAGACGTGAGTCTGAGTTCCTGACACTGACTAGGTTGTCTCGTCTCGTACCCTGATCATGGACTGCTGCGTTGATCAGACCATCAACAACGTTGATCATGCAGAGTTGCAGACTGAGGAAACTTTACTTACCACGTCTGTGTCCAGCAGTGGCCTGGAGTAGTCCTGTAGTGCTATCTTATCTGACGGTTTGCTCGACAAAGCAAAACATTGTTCTGTCTGTACCACAGAGGGCTCATATTCTGTCGAAAAAATTGCAAAAATGACACTTGAAAGATTGACTCCTTGATTATGATGACACTCGGGTGGATGACAAGTGGGTCCATCTGTGTCTATGAATGTGGGTCCAGTGTTAAATCTGCAAACGACCGATGTTTCGAGTCCCATTTTTGCAAATCGCCCTATTCTGTCCTGTACACAAACGAACAACTGCTAAAGTTGAAGGATGCAGTGCGGAACTGATTCCTATGCACCAATATAGGAGTAAAACATGGTGACTGCCTGACTGGTTATCTAGTGAGCAATGGCCGAAGATGGATAAGCACTGGCTTTTCAGTAAAAGAAGCGTCTAAAGTGGGGGGAAAAAAGAACATATAAGTAAGACGCTGAATTGCAAGTTTTCTCATTCCGGAAATTTGCAAAACCTGGCACCTGTCAAAACCGAACAAGTACAGTAACACACAACAGAAAGCTGTTGTTTTAAATTAGGAAGTAACAATGGCAAGAACCATTATAAAAAAATGACAAGAACAAAACTAAGCCAAAGTGCCCTGTTGTGAATTGCGGTCCATCCGAATCAGTAGACCCCTTCCACTTTGGATGGATGGCTGTCCGCTCAAAGATGTGCGTGTGTTCATATCCGCGATTAGATTCGACACTATGTAATGTAACGCTAACATACGTCCATGATTGCCGCAGAACGAGCGATTAGTTGCCGTTTGATTACTGATCACCGGCAGCGACGAGAGCCCAATGTTTCTTCTTGCCTCTGATAGTCTGATACTCTGATTCCATTCCAGTGTCATCACGTCCATCCACCCGCTGGCTTTACCCCCGTTATTCTGTGCCCCTTGCTTTTGGGAATTCTGTATGCACAGCAGACACTTGCAATCCTGTTCTATGAATTTAGCTTGGCAGGATAGCATCGAATTCTCTCGTACTGGAGCCAGGAGGAGAAAGAGGCTGAGGTATTTTTGGCCAAGAAAATGAAACGTTGAAACTCTGTATGTGCTCTTTATTTCGTCCACGGGAGTGGTTGGGAGCAACATGGCAGCAAATGTGCCAAATTGAAAGCCGTAGCTCAAAATATCTTCTTCCTCCAAATTAAAGGACTAAAGGAGACAGATAAAATATTGGTAAATTGAACTGAAAATCTGGTTGCGCGTACAAAATGACCCCGTTCATACTTTGTATAGAGTGACTAGAGCTAGAGCCTGGACATACATGTCGGTCCACTTGTATGCATGGGACAAATTTGCAGCGGACAAAAGATGGATTAGTTAGTCATGTGATCTCAGGTATTGGACTGAAATCCAGTAGTAGCTGTCTCGCTGACACAAAAGAAAAGATCAGCTAAATCCAAGATTTTCGGAGTAGCAGAGTGAATACTCATCCGACAAATAAGAGCCTGTACAACTGTGTGTTAACACATGATTTTTTTTTTAACGTAGGATGAAGATCCAACAGGCTCCAGCATTTTTCTACCTACGGCCTTCCTCTACCTTCAGACCTTGGCCCCCGCTGCCACTGCCGTCCACCGCCCACCCTTGGCTGTGGCTATGTCGGCACAAATCACAAGTAACAAAGAGCACGGTTGTATCGGCACAAATCACAAATCACAAGAAACAATTCCTTTCTATAAAAGGAAAAGGACAAAATTTGGGGAAGTGGCTCGTCGGAACCCAAGCCACCGCCGTTGTCGTCTTTGTCTCTGGTCAGCACAGATCTAGAAAGAGGAGGAGGAGAAGAAGACCTACCTCGATGGATCCGTCATGGCCGGCACCGGATCCGCCATGGCCGGCGAGCTCGCATGCGGGCGTGGGGGCCGGAGGGATGACGTCGGCGGCGCGGGGCCGAGGGAGGGAGCGTCGGTGCTGGGGAGTGCCTCCACGGAACTGTCCGCTGGATCGGGCGCCAGCGCTCCCAAAGATGTAGGAGTTCGCTACAAGCACTGTATATATCGAATAATAAAGTCTCATCGATCTGAATTTACACATTTACATAAATATTATTACACAAAAAGGGGAGGAGAAAAGCAAAGAAGAAGAAAAAGAAGAGAAGAAACAAATGGAATCTAGAGAAGCAAGAACACTGACAGCACAACGCACGCACGCCTCAAGGAAAAGGAAGAAGAAGAAGGAACCCGCTACGCTAGGGATCTCGTCTCATCTCAGACGACCACGGTGAAGTAAGCGAGCGTGAGCGCCCCGTCGGGTGCGCCGGCGCCGGTCCCCGCGAGCGCGCCGAGGAGGCGGCGGAACGCGGCGACGGGGCAGGGGATGCGAAGCGGCCCCCGGCGCGTGTAGCCGTACTCCTGCGCGGCGCGGCGGAGCAGCTCGGCGATGGGCGGGCGGCCCAGCAGCTCGGCGGGGACGACGAACCGCTGCGTTTCCTCCCCCTCCGCGCCGACCTCCACCGGCACGTGCCCCGCGGGGACCTTCCCGCCGGTGGAACGCGGAGACGCCGGCACCGGCTCCGCCACGGCGCCCGGCGCCACCCTGCACGCCCCCGTGGACACGCACCGGAGGAGCCCCCTCATCGTCATGGGGCCAGATCGTAGGTCGCCGCTCGTGCTAGTGCTACCCCACGGGCGCGCGCGGCGGTGGCAGTGGACTGGTGGTGGAGATCGAGGCGGGGGCGAGGAGGCTGCCGTGCCGGAGGAGAGGAGCGCAGGGAGGGGAGGGAGGAAGGCGGGGCCGCGGGGGCGTGTGCTTTGCAGGCGTTGCTATATGGCCGCGGGCTGCACGCGGAGTTTCTCGCCGTTGAGGCCGACAGGTGGGACAGGAGTGCCTGTGGCCCCTCGTGGAGGTGGGGGTGTACGAATAGGACCACGGAGAGTACCCGAGGCGCGCGGGGAGAGAGAGAGTAGCCAGATGGAGTGAGTGGGATCGGAGTTGGGATCGCGTGCGCCGGGCTGCGTACCGTGCATCATGTGCTTGGGGTGCCGGTTGGCCGACACGTCACGCGGCCGCGAGAAGGTGGTGCTCCGGCCGGCGGCGTCCCCGACGTGACGGTGGCAGGGATGGATCGACGGCGACGGCACGAAGGAGGACCGGAGGATCCGCCGCTCGCCGGAGACCCGGTCTTGTGGTGGACCTCGCTGGCCGGACAGACACACAGGGCGCGCACACACACATCAAGGCCACGAGCACACGTGTCGCGTGCCGCATCGCATCTCACATGCGCGCGTTCGCGGTGGAGCACCGTGGAATTGGAACCGGTAGGGCGTTGCCGTCGCCAGAATGGTGGCCCGAGGGCGACGGCACGTGAGCTGGGCCCCCGCGACGGTTCCGTCGCTATCGGGTGGGCGGGCTTCCGTACGCGGCCCCTGTACGGTTCCGTAACCACGGAAGGCGGTGGTACGGCTGCTACGGCACGTGGGGCCCTGCCGTACGTTACCCGTGCAGGCGCCCACTGCCCACAACCACAGGTCACAGGCCACAGGCACATTCGTCTCGTCGTCAGACTGCAGTGCGGTCGTGCAGTCCCCTTCTTTTTTTTTGAAAAGTTGAACGTGCAGTCGTGCAGCAGCGCCGCGGAAAGAAGCCGGGTGGTGGCTGGTGCCGTGGAGTGAGTGAATGCGGTGGAGGTCGTTGCAAGTACAGACATGGGGGCGTGGAAAGCGTTGCCGTGCCGACATGGGCGCGACGTCTCGTGTTGCATCAAGGGTGTCCCTGTTCGCGGAGACGACGAATTTTGTTGGCGCGTGGGATTCCTTTTCGACAGAGTTCATGAGGAAAAGGCAACTGATTTTGATTTGGTTCGAAAAGTTCGTACGGTTCAGATTTTGCTTCGGGTCCTTATTCTGGATTTTAGACAGGTACAGGAGAATCTCAATTCTAGATAGAAAAAAATAGGTATTTGGATCTTTGGTTTAATTTTTTTGAAAGATGGATCTTAGGTTTATAGCGAGAAATTACATATATATACATCTATATTGTAGTTTATATCTATATACGGAGTATATCTATACACTATACTCTATGCTCTAGTAGATATTTATATTTATGACCAATCTATATCTATATCTATATCTATATCTATATACCTAATATAGTGAAAAAGGCAACTAATTTTGATTCCACACTTTTCCTAGTGCGTCAGTCCATCACTCCTCCATCGTCCTTCACGCTCACCCTTTTCACTATAAGTTTAGAGTTGCAAAACCTTCATTGACGTTACACCACTCATATCTAGCTCTAGCCACCGGACTTTGTTAGTGTCACGGCGTGCGTGCAGGAGTGTGTTTCCCCTTTCATCTTTTTTCGATTCACAATATGTATACATAATAGCCACATATTTAAGTTGAGTCACTCTCTTATCAATTTCACATGCGGGATTAATCCTTTATTGAGCTACCATTTATTATGAGTCTTAAGTTTATTTTATTTAAGATTGAAACCAAGCTCGCTTAAATCGAATAAAATGGCTCATTATTATTGGCACCAGCACCGAACAACAAATTATACACGCCAAATCGTTTCACTTAGCATTTTACGAGTACATGGCCCACGGCTATTCTCACCAAAGTGATAACTAACAAGCCCCTAGGATGGGGATTGGGTCGGGCCGATTGGCTGGAGGCAGAATCTACCCAGAGGTCTCTCATCTACTTGGCATACCGGGTATAGACATACATGGAAATCGATTAGATCATGACCTTGTTGTAACCGACTAAAGAAGACATACATAATTCCGACTAGGATACAATCTTCTATAACCCTTTGGAGTATACGACATCCCAAAAATTCAATTCTTAAAACCACTCGCTTAAAAATATTTTCAAAATCTATATATTTTGAAAAACTAAAGTCATTTGAGCTCTATTTAAATCCTCTTCCAACTCGAATCCACCTCATATATAAATCCCTCTGTCCAGTCTACATATATATCCCTCACATCGCACCAATAATATCTCGCTCGCCCTCGCCCGACAGCGCCCGCATGCGCCGGCCCCCACCGCCGCCACTGCGGCGCATCCGCGCCTGGACCCCCCTCGCCGACCTCGACACCATGCCATGTGGGCCCCACCTTCCGTCATGTTGTGCCCTTCATGGGCCCCACCTTCCACTCCCTCTCCCTTCTCCTATCATGCAGTACGCAGAGCACAGGTAGAGAGAAGCAAAGCAAAGCACGCACGCATGCAGCAGAGCGGTCAACTGAGCTAGCACCGCGCGTACCGATCAGCAGCTGCCACACGCCACACCGCACGTCGGTCGTCCTTCGCCCCGCTAAAGCTGTCGCCGCACGTTGCCGTGCTGTGTCGCGCACGTCGCTCGACCTCCGCGTACGAGCTATGCTGCTGCACGCCGCGCTGCCCCTACAACACAGCGACGCCATTGAAGGCGAACCGGTGAGCGTTGCCACAGCTCCTACCCGGCCGTGTATAAAACGCACGCCTAGACTCTCGCCTCTCCTCCATCGCACCACCCAGCAGCAAGCTCGCACCCTCCGTTTCAGCTCACTCGCTCGTCTGCTCTCGCTTCGCTTCGCCACCCGTATACGGCCGTGCGTACGAGCCGGGCTCGGCTGTCGTCATGGGACGAGGTGAGTAGCCTATGAGCTTCCCCTCATCCTCCTCTCCCTCCCCATGTCCTTGGTTTCGGAAACCGTGGCTTGAATCGCCGTCCCGTGAAGCTATAGTGGCTCGTCCATGGCGGATGAGTTCACGAGCACGAACACCCTGTGCTAGCTTCTCTCTCCCTTCCCATGCATGTGTGTATGACGCGTGGGCCCTGAGCAACACATGCAAGAGCACCATGCCATGCACACCACGTGAAAGCCCAAGGACATTTCCTAATCACGCATTAGTCTTTTTCCGCGTGATTAAATTACGGCCATCTCGCAGAGCCAAATACCAAATCCGATTCCATCGATTCTTCTTCCTAAATTTATCTAAAATCAATATCTATCTTTCAAATAAATTTCATGATTTTTGGAGCTCATTTGAATTTATGCGATTATTTAATTGTGTTTATTTGCCTCTCCAGTTGTTTGTGCGCTTCTAGCCGACGGAGTGAACGAGGAGGAGAATGAGGACGTCGGAGGAGAGGACCGCAAGTTCGACCCGGCCAGTAGGAGTTTCTCAAGGACGTCGATGGAGGCATGTTGATCCTATTTTTAAACACAACCCGTAGAAGCCATTTTAAATATTGCATGTACGAGGTATTTTCGCTGCTTAGCTAAAACCCGTTTGAATAACTATTCTTGGATTGATATTATTTGATAATTGTCTTGCTCAAACATAGGAATAAATATTATGCTATGATGAAATATTATTATTTAGTAATGCTTAGGACTTAGTACCCATCATGGATACTCATCACTATGATTTCTCAAATGCAATGATTTTAAATGAAAAATGTGAGGGGTGAGGATAAGTTGTGGGTATTGTGAAAGGGTTAATGAACAAATTATAGATGGTGATTACCCTACAGATAGGGCGGATCGGATCACTTTTGTGGGATGCCGTGGTGTTGTGGCTTGTACCTTTTGTGGTTAAGCGTGAAGATATCCGCCTTGTCTCGGTTTAAGGACTGAGTTGATGATTCATCTCACCTAACTCATTTTATACAACCACGCGACCTTGTATGTGGCAATGCTTAGTCTAATTCCCCCTAGTTGGTATGGCAATCACCTGGAGGTAGGTGTGCAACGGGACACTTAAGAGATATATGTGGAAACGGAGGAATTGTATTAAATGTAATGAGCTCTGTAAATTATTGTATTATGAGATGTTGTCTTAGTGTGCCCGTGGTAAGCGCCAGTACCCAGCTATAGAGGGTAATGGCTCTAATGGATCTGTGATTGCACGACGGTGTCAAGTTACGGTATTCTACTTGTGGTGAAAGTGTACTGTGGCAGAACCGTCCGAAATAACACGCTTTCAGAGGCGCTCGTCTCCCACCTGACAATAAGCACCCTGAAAGTTAGCTACATCGGACAGTTCTGTCGAGCACACCTCAAGGGAGAACTCGAACACTCCACGTTTTTTTATCCAGGATCCAATAATGAGAGCGAGTTTACAATACTTAGTCCATTTCATACAACAACAGTTCTCGGAAATACATTATTACAATACCAAGTTTAGAGTGCGGAATTTAAACAGCGGAATTGAAATAAACATCTAACGATAAGATACAAGGATCCGTCTGTGCCCACCAGAAGAACCCCCTCCACACAACAACCACTCCTCAAGCTGCACCTGCAACAAGGGTAAATAAACTCTGAGTACAAAATATACTCGCAAGACTTACCCAACTAGTAGGAATACTTTCCCGACTCTAAAGGATATGATAAGCTTTATGGTTTGCTGGGTTTCCTTTTTGTGAAAAGCATTACCAGCAGTGAATCTTTAGGTATGTGTTTTATTAGCCGTCATGATTAGTTCATTAGCGACCGGAGCGACCACGGCCAGCACTAGCTGACGACACGCGCTCGAGGTCGGCGTGGCCCACGCGCCGTAGTGCCATAAATGGCATGGCGACGGCGGTTCAACCTCGTGCGTGCAGCGTCCAAGCGGGCCAGTGGCGCAGCGCAGCGATG